GTGTGTGTGTGTGTGTGTGTGTGTGTGTGTGTGTGTGTGTGTGTGTGTGTGTGTGTGTGTGCGGCAGAGACCCTGGAGATAAACATTGTTGTATATTGATAATTTGATAATACGACATCTTCAATTGTTGATTGTATCTCGATTTGGGCTTCTCACGTGTGAACTCTAATGGGAATGTTCATTGATGTATACGACGTTGAGCTTGACGGCTACTTGGCTCATTTCATTGTAGTATTTTTTTTTTTAATTTTTCACTATTTTATTAAACATGACAGAAGAAAAAAGTGAGCATGGGAATGTAACAGTTTGCTATCTTCGTGGTGTGTGGGTGTGTGCTCCCCTGTGTTGTTGTTGTTTTTCCTTTTTTTTTGTTTTTTTTTTGCAAAAATTATCCTTTCTTTGTGTCAATGTCGTCTGTCTGTCTTTCTTTCTTTCTTTCTTTCTTTTTGTTTTGTTTTTGGCAATTGTCTCTTCGGCAGGCTTGCAGTTGAAATTGGCAGGAAAAGTTGTGAATCATGCGACTCTTCAGAATCTATCACGCACAGCTCGTGGTGACGCGCGCAATTACGACATGGTTATTGCGGTGAGAAAAATGTGTCAAAAAAAAAAAAACTTATAATAAACTTTTTCTGTTGACCAGTTGAATGTTCTAGAACTTGCCCGCATTCAGGAAAAAAGAAAAAGGGAGAAAAAAACTTATCCACATTCTTATTGTCAGTGTTCCGCTTCTGCTGTTCTGGCCTATTCATGGTTTGCTTCCACCCGTCTAGGAAGATTCTCACGCCAGGCCGTTTGGCCAGGCACCCAGGCGTGGAAAAAAAAAAAAAAAAGGTCTTCTGCGCTCTCCCAGATGAACCCAAATCCGGACTCATTTTTTCTTTTTGTGAGTTGGCTGTCAAGGGGGGGGGGGGAGATATATAAATTGGTTTTAAAGGAGCTAAAGGGGTTTAAAGGTTGGGTGCCTTAGTGTGATTATGTTATTTTCTTCGTTATCTCCAATTCTGTGAGGAATTCTAATGTGACCCTCAGCCAATAGTCGTGTGTATTGCAATTCTACACAACATTTTTTTTCCCGTTTTTTTTTTTCCCGTTTTTTTAGCGCTAGGGCTGCCCCGAACCTGCTGCGTGTACCCAGGCATAAGTCGGGTGCCCGGGCACCTGGAAAAACAGCCTAGCCACCCGCTGCTTTTTTTTTTCTTTTCTTTTTCTTTTGGCGGGAGATTTGACCAGAATAAATTTGTGCAACTAATCAGTGTTGCAAGGAAAATGAGCAATATCGAAAAGAGAGAACTCCAGATTGCAAAATTGCATTGAAAGTCTGATAGTCAAAAGCTGTCCAGAAAGCAGAAATGCACTGATATCACACGGAAGGAGAACCAAAGCAGCGAACTCAATTGTCAATGAAAGCATACTCTCGCCACCACCAACAATGTACTCGAAGCTCTTCCTCCTAATGGCACTGCCCAGACTGCGATCCTACTGCTACTCTACCAGCCTACAAAGTGACGCAGCAACTCGTTGACGTCAGCAGCAGCAACCGAAGTACATGCAGATGTCGACCTTGCAGACCTACCCCAGGACCAGGTACGTGCCCTCATATCACCTCCTTCTCTCGCCCTTTCTTTGCTCACCCTCGTCTTCTCCTTTCTCGTCCTACGGCCTTCCAAGGACCACCGCCAACGCTCGCTGACCATCCCAGCCCAAGCCCGGCTATGGGGGCTGGGCTATGGCGCTGCTTGCTTGCAGCACCCTCACTTGCGACCGCGCTCGCCCTCCAGCACCCACCACACAGCTAGCAGGCCCGAGCTACCGCTCCAGTGGCCCTGCCGCTCGTACGTGCAAGTGCCCGAATCCTGATGCTCAGCCAGGCTTGTTGGCTGCCTGGCCTGGCCTGGCCTGGCCTCGCGTGTGCTCAGTAGTTTCAGGTTGGGCCAAAGTGTCTGCGCCCAGGCCCATTCAGACAGTGGCCTGGGACCGAATTGGTTAGGCGTGCCCAGCCACTAATGCACGAACATGCGGTGTTCCCTGCTTCCCCTGCGTTGCTGGAAAAGCCTAGAAGGCTCACAAATGTTTCTGATTCTCATGAGCAGAGCGGATTCGTAAGATCGTTACAGGAACTCCTCGTCAACAATCCGCAGGCCCAATAAAACTGCCAGTGTTACCGCTAGCCCTCATCCGCTACCGCTTGCACTAATCGTAATTAGCATTTGCGGATCGCGGATGTCCCGTAATGATTTGCACTTACTGTAATTATAGGAACAAAGCAAACCAGCTTACTATGCTAAGCGTCCGACAAGCCAAAATCGTGGGAATCGGTGCCGGTCCCCCTGCACTGAGACCCGGGCCGGTAACAGGCCACTCAAACCATGCTGGCCGGGTTTCAAGGCCTGCGGCCACTCCGTGAGAAGGATGAAAAGGTCCAGTACCTAGTCCAAATTGACAGAAAATTCACGCTGCAAACTAATGCTACTAACAGCCACTAACAAATTCAGAAATGGTAACAACAAATTGGACAACCCTATCCGAACATCTGCGATCCTCACGCTCACTCGAGCAACTCAAGAGTCTGTTTCCAGATCCCATCCCTTCAAAAGGCGAATCTCCGACAAAACTCCGAAGAGACCAGCTGATTGAACATCCCCACGAATCTCCCTCAAAACTACATTCTCCTGATCCAGTACGACTCTGTATCCAGGATTCCGAACAAACATGTTCATCATTGCATCGAAATAGATCTTAGGGCACATAGCCACAGTCTCGCCCTGATTGCTATCGAGAGGGCTTAGCACAAGACCATCGCATCGATGCTTCGTGCTCAGCACATCATAAACTGTGAGAACAGATACGGAGGTGGGATTATAATCCAGAATACGCAACTCGACAACTCACTATCCTGAATCGATGGTAACTTGTTCTAGAAGTTTCTCCAACCCTTGAAACCATCTAGGATATCGGAATGCAACTGCTTCAGACGGTCTACTACGCGAACCTTCGGAATGTTACTGGCATTTGCTAGCAAAAGGGTGGTCAACCACATCCTTGTTCAAGCGAAAGTGAATGTTGTGCAACAACAACATTCACTTTGGGAATAGGGTAGGCCTGTGGATTGGCAGGTCAGCACAGGTCGAGCAGCAAAGGGTCGATGGGGGTGTGCAACAACTCGCCAACCGTCCGATTCTTCTGCCTGCCAGACGACTCTTGTCTTCTTTCGAGCACAGCACAAGAAACAAGTGGGAAGATGACGATTCAATAACGAATCATTTACCACCTTATGGAGCTTGCACAGTCTCAATCTATCATCAAACTTCACACGTATCAACAAGTCAGCGCAAGTCAGCACTGAGGCTAAGATCACAAACTTCTTCAAAAATACTCAGGAGACCAAGCGACGGTGATACTTCCTGGTCGACTTGCGGGTGAAGTCCTTGACGGCATTATATGAACGTAAAATAGAGTGCATAGTAGCATACGCCATTTGTAAATGCTAGCAAGGACTCTCGGGTTTTTCAACAGCGAAATTAGTAACTTCTTCAGATTACCTCACTGTGGTTTCCACGTCACCACATACTCGACCACGAAATGTTTGCAGCCCTTGAACAAAGATTTGCAGTCCTTCAACAATCTAGTCTCCAAGCGTAGGGATACCTTAGAGGAACCGAAGGGTTTGTAAATCTTTCTCCATGGCCCAGCCCACCAGGTAGTTGCAGAGACTGGGTGTTACATGCCCAGTTGGGCGATGTACATATAAGCCGAGGATCCGCAATGTGATAAAAAGGACTGAATGGACAATGCAGTGCAAGTAGAATCTCAACAAGCAATGTGCAGTCCGATACATACAAAACGGTGCTTGATAGCGCAGGGAAGACTTAGATACAAATCCTGACCTGACCGAGACTGACCCCTTTCACGTAGTACAAGATAGCGAAGCAGAATGCTAGAATACTAATGACTAGCCCAATCAATGTTTCAACGCAGACTAAACATACATCATGCTCATCACAGGGTGTGAAGGAGCCTGGCGCTATTACACAGGAAGGAGTGCCAGGTCCAGACATACACAGACGAAGAGGAGGGGATCAGACGGAGAAAAGAGGGAGAGATGGGAGTGTCATGAACACCAAGTCTTTGTCACAAGTCCCAAATAATTCCTCGTTGAAATGTCTGAAGTCCAAAAGTCGAGTCTGGATCCAATGTCCCCAAGCTCTCTCTCTCTCTCTCTCTCTCTCTCTCTCTCTCTCTCTCTCTCTCTCTCTCTCTCT